CATGGTCTCTGTGTATATAATGTCTTCTGCAGTTTCCACAGTATGCATCCGATGAAGTGAGCTGTAGCTCACGAAAGCTTATGCTCAAATAAATTGGTTAGTCTCTAAGGTGCCACAAGTACTCCTTTTCTTTTTGCGAATACAGACTAACACGGCTGTTACTCTGAAACCTGTGTATTGTCTATCTCTAGACTAAAAGCTCTCCAGGATAGGAGTTGTCTGTTACTATGTTTTTTTACGATGGATCTCTGAGCTTGACTTGGGCCTCTAGCTGCTATAGTAATATAAAAATAATGATGGTCGTGTATACTGATGCCCTACTAAGCTTTGTGTTTAGACTGGTTTATGTGTGTTGTTGTCTGCTACTTGGTTTCAAATTGATCTAATGCACCACATATCTTTGCTTCCCACTACCAATAATGTAACAATGGATTGTTAATATCTCTCTCTCTCTTGCTCTTATCTTTTACCTGTCTAACCTTATGTATATTTGATTTACTTAACTGCTTAGAGTTGTGTACCTTCCTAGTTATCCCATTGAAACACAAGGAGATGGTTCTATAAAAAATGAAACATTCTGCACATGTATATCCGCTCCCACTTTAGTCACATAAGAGAGAATGCAAGATATCATTTTTGGGAGGAATCTCATAGCTACTCAAGCAATCTTTTCCCCCACAAATTTAGAGAGAAAAAATAATTTGCTCATCTGGCTGCATAACTTATACGTGTATGTCCATTACAGACATGCAGATCAGATATATTCAAAATGTGGGTAGGTCTGAAATTCAGGCAGGTGAAACTTGGTTAAATGAACCATAGTTAAACCAAAAATTGTAATATTCTATGTAATTTAATCTGAAACAAAAATCTGTTCCTTGCTCAGATCCATTCCTTTCTTACAAGGCAGGAGAAATCTTTGGAGTCCAATTGATTTCTCCTTATTGTTCTGCTCATTTTAAAATACATCACGTTCCTGTTCTACTTATTGTCCTTTCATGTATGTATATTGGGCTGTCTGGATGTGAAGCCATTGTATCTTTCTGTCTTCTAGTGAGGACTCATCAATTAGGCCCTTCATCTAGGCTGGGAGAGTCTTTTGTCTATATGTTAAAGAGTCCTTTCCTTTATCCTGACACAATAGGGCTTATTAGTGACACTTTCTGCTTGTTAAATTGATTACTACCAGATGGGATTGAGAGTTATTTAGATTCAAGAAACAGTTTTTCCTTGGACATATTACATTAACATGGTACCCCAAAATTAACACACTTCCCTCAAGTTCAGTCAGGGTTGCTTTAACTCCGATTATGTGTTCCTCTTTGTCTGTCTGTGCTGGCTGGAACCCCTGCTGGCTTCTCCAATGCTGAGTTCTACTCAGCTTTCAATGTTGTTTTTCTCCATTGTTTTCTGGGTTTTTTTTTTCTTTTCTGGACACTCCAGTTGTTGTTGTGGCCACATTCTCAGTGCACCCTTCAACACTAACTAACAGGGAGACAGATTCTTCATTGCCCTGCACCTTGTGTAGTTATTTAATATTTTATACCCATTTTGCACAGATGTAAATAACTACACAAGGTGCAGGGTAGTGGAGAATCAGTCATAACTAGCCAGTATAAGTGAGCTAAATAGACAGCCAGGTAACTGGGCTAATATGGCCCAAAATATTTAATGAAATGCATAGACAAATTAATTTTTCTGAACACATATCAATGACATAATCGGTATATAGATTATATATAAAATAGACTATATCTATATAGATAGATAGATAGATAATGAGATACATATCTATATATTGAAAATGTATCTAGATATACCACAGTATGAGTTCACATACTTACATACAGCCAAGAAAAAACACATACTGAGAAATTGTTAATCTTAAACTTCAGCTACAATTAATGGCTGTGACCTTTATTTATCAATCCATCATTTTTTTTTTAATAATTTCTGCTAATGTCTGAGGGGGGAAACATCTGTGTCTACCATATTTCCAAATACATTATTTTAATCCAAAACAACCGAGGAATTCAGCCAGAAGTGATCACACCAAAGAAGTTCTGAGATTCAGCCTGAAAAGTATAGTTGTAATTTACAACTAAATTAAGAAATATACCCATGGAAGGTGTTCAAACTGGAGTATTTGCTAGAGTTTGAGATGCATTATTGTTTCCACCACCTTTCTCATAATAGTTTTTGATTAGCAAAAGACATCCTGGCTGCAGCAACACTCAGACCGCGGGGTAAAGCTGCAGCCTCCCAGTCATGGAGAACAGCTCAGGGCACAACAGAAGGCGGGAGAGTTCAGCAGATTCCACTGAACCAAAAAGAAAACGTCATATATACAAAATGCAAATGTCGGCTTTTGTGCTGCATGCATTACAGAAATGGCTCAGAGTGTTGAACCTACCCTTCCGTCAGTTAGGCATCATGTCTAATCTCTCTCTTGTGCTGGACACGACCACCTCCTCCTCCTGGAATGGGATTTCAGTTACACGGGATCAGGGCCTAAATGTGTCACCATCAGATGGCTGCTAACAACTGGGAGCATGAACATTTTTTATGTGGACCTTGGGCTTCCATGGCCCTGATTGTTTATAGAAAATAAAAATAATACTAATGATAAGATAATAATGTGTGCAGCGTAGCTGTAGCCATGTCGTTGCCAGGATATAAGAGAAAGACAAGGTGGGTGAGGTAATCTTGGAGTACATTTCCCAGACCTATGGAAGAGCTCTGTGTAGTTTGAAAGCTTGTCTGTCTCTCCAACAGAAGTTGGTCTAATAAATGATATTACCCCACCCACCTTGTCTCAGTTAATAATGTCACTCACAAAGCTTTGCTCAGATCAATGGTATCATCTCCTATCAGACCGTGGGATACAGGGGGAGGCAAATCTCCCATCAAACTGCATTCAGTTGCACTCTTAGTGCCTTGTCATTTTTCATGATTAGCCAACCTCCTACCGTGATGCTGCTACTTTTGTTTATATAAGAAAAGGAGTACTTGTGGCACCTTAGAGACTAACCAATTTATTTGAGCATGAGCTTTCGTGAGCTACAGCTCACTTAAACATCTGATGAAGTGAGCTGTAGCTCACGAAAGCTCATGCTCAAATAAATTGGTTAGTCTCTAAGGTGCCACAAGTACTCCTTTTCTTTTTGCGAATACAGACTAACACGGCTGTTCCTCTGAAACCTTTGTTTATATAGTGCTGTTCAGACTGTCACTCAGAGGCTGGGGAGCCACTGGTCTGGGCAACAGCCCGATGCCACGGGCTGCTCTGGCACTGCGATCTAGTGTTCCTCACACTGTGCTGAAAACAAGTTTCTGTTTCTATTGTATTATTTGCTTACAGTTGATATCGAGTAAGCTGCCCTGCTTTCAGGACTAAGCTACATCCTGAGACTGGAAATAAGCTGGGGCCAGATTCTGTCTAGTCCTTCCATGAGTGCAAAGTGCAGAGAGAGACCATGAAGAATTTTCCCTTAGGCAGACCACGTAAGGGCCAGGTACAATTCCAGTCCCCGCACTAAGACTGCAAGGACTGCACCCTTGAGGGCACACACAGCTCCACCGGGGCAGGGGGAAGAGATGGGGACCTCCCCCCACATAAGGCACCAACCACCAGAGCTAGCTATCACTACATTATTATGTACACCCATAGGTGCTGCAGTTCCAGCACCTACTGGCTTCAAGTGGTTTCCATTATCTACAGGGTTACAGTTTGGTTCAATGGCTCTCAGCTCTCCCACTATGAAAATTGTTCCAGCATCCCTTGCTACACCCTACAAAGGGGAATAGCAGAAAGTGTGCAGTACATGTGGGCCTGCAAACTCTGGAAAGCATTTGAGTCCCTGAGGGAACACATCACAGTCTTGTCCTGGAGCAGCTTCATCTCCCTCCTTACCGTGAGCTGGGAGCCCCCATGCTGATGAGAATGTTCTTTGAAAGCTATAACCAAGTAGTCATTTTAAATAGGTGGTCCATCCACACACGACTCTCTCACTGACTCCCAACACCCTTGTGACTATATTGGGAATAAGACTTGCCCCCTAGCTATCTGAGGCCCACTGGACAATTCTTAGGGACAGGTTTCAGAGTAACAGCCGTGTTAGTCTGTATTCGCAAAAAGAAAAGGAGTACTTGTGGCACCTTAGTATACCTTAGTACGGTATGCATCCGATGAAGTGAGCTGTAGCTCACGAAAGCTCATGCTCAAATAAATTGGTTAGTCTCTAAGGTGCCACAAGTACTCCTTTTCTTAGGGACAGTCTTTTGAGCTGATAGACTTCTGCAAAGCAGAGAGAGGGAATGCAGTCCAGCTTGTAGAGGACCATTGGTCTTGCACAGCAATTTATAGAGCAGTAGTTGGCACTTACAATGCACTAGAATCATAGAATCATAGAATATCAGGGTTGGAAGGGACCCCAGAAGGTCATCTAGTCCAACCCCCTGCTCGAAGCAGGACCAATTCCCAGTTAAATCATCCCAGCCAGGGCTTTGTCAAGCCTGACCTTAAAAACCTCTAAGGAAGGAGATTCTACCACCTCCCTAGGTAACGCATTCCAGTGTTTCACCACCCTCTTAGTGAAAAAGTTTTTCCTAATATCCAATCTAAACCTCCCCCACTGCAACTAGGTACAGTCCACACACATAGGAAGATCTGGCCCTTGTCTTGTAGAACTAAGTTAGTCATCTCTAGCAGGGATAAATGAGGGCACCAGTTGCTGTAAAAAGAAATGCTTTTAAGCATGGTTCTATAGATCACCACCTTAGAAGAACAAAAAGAACCGGTTCAGCGGCTTTTGGAAAGGACTATTTTGGAATTCAGTTAGTTCCCAGTAGATAAATAGTTGCATGGTCATCTTGGCTTGCCGCTTATTTCCTATGACAGGGATGGAATAAAAGCCTTTGCAGGGAAAATACTGCACTTAGGAGAGCTCGGTCTAGTTCATGTCCATCTTTGTTACTTAAAGTGGTTTCTCTCCTGGCAGGTGGGGCACTGTGGACGGCTCATTATGTGACTCCAATATTCCATCCAGACAGTGCTGGAGCCTGTTATAGATGTGGAATGTGCCATTGCTTTGGGGAAGACGTAACCCATCATGACCCTCCTTTGCTCTTTGATCTCTCCAGTGACCCAGCTGAGACCAAACTTCTGTCTCCTGCCACTGAGCCCCTGTTTGACACAGTAATAAGCAGACTAGAAAGAGCTGTTCAGGAGCATCGCAGGACCCTGATTCTGGTCCCTCAGCAGCTCTCTGGGTACAACAACATATGGAAGCCCTGGCTGCAGCCGTGCTGTGGGACATTCCCATTTTGCTGGTGTGACAAAGAAGGTGACAGTGAGCAGGAAATTCTTTAACCAAAGAAAGAACAGGGAGGCAGTCAAACAGCTAGTAACCTGAAAAAAAAGAGAATAGAACTTAAATGACTTTGAGCTAAATACTGACATCCATAGGCAGGGCAGAATTACACTGGACTATTTGAATCAGACATTCCTTTCACTTCTGACCCACCTACACTCACCCACCCCTATCACTGAGCTCTGTTCAGTAGACCTGGAGTCTGCCTGATTAAGTCCTGAACATAATCTCTGGACCAAATTCTGTCTCAGTTGCAATTTGGCCCTAAACAGTGAGCTCAGGCTTTTGTCCCAGATAAATGAACTGGGATTTCTTTTTCTACCTGTGTTCAGTATCCTTGGGCTTGAGCATCTATATGGTCTCTCGCAGACCCGAGTCCAGGGGGGCACTAGTGCCTCTGGGATCTGGTTAGTTTGACTCGGGTCTGTGCGCTGCCGTGGGGCTGTCAGAGCCCCAGGTTCAAGCGGAGGTTAGAAAAGTCTTAATGGAGGGGTATAATCACTGAGGTGAACATGTTACCAAATTGAATGCACATTTGTTTTTAAATACAGGTCCATTGCCAACCAGTTTGGGGTAAACTACATGCCTGATTGCCTTAGATACCTCTGCCGTCACTTCAGTCAACTTTCCAACCTCAAAGTAGTGGGCATTAAAGATATTCTAGCAGTAACTGCTGGCTTTAAGAGAGTGGGGTTGCCTAACTGTGCCGGGGTCATTATTGGGCCTCATTTGCCCTCCTGGAGGAGCACCTGAGTACATACACTGCAAAGGGTACTACTCCATTGCTCTGCAGGTGCCAGTGGACCACAGAGCCAGATTTAGAAATGTCAGTGTGGGCTGCACAGGAAAAATTCACAAGCTAGTTTTTTGCCAATCAGGAATCTACATTCATGGACAAGGTGGGACACTAGTCCCACCAAATGACATTGACATAAATGGTGTTACTGTCTGCACTGTCATCCTGGGGGAGCCTGCATACCCCTTTTGCTTTGGCTTATAAAACTGTATCCTGATTTCAGAGGCCTTGACAACAGATGGTTTAATCACACTCTGCGCAGGTGTAGAATGGTTGTTGAGTGTGCTTTAGGCAGATTGAAGGCCCATTAGAAATTGTTTGGATGCCATTGTCATCAATGTTGTCCACCTTGCTTGGCTTGCTGTGCCCTTCACAACCTTTGTGAAGCCAGAGATGAGCCATTTCCCTCTGACTGGATTGGTACCCTCAGCCAGAAAGTACAGCTACCACTGAGAGAGCTGGTTGTGCCCGGGCAGCAGAAGTCAGAGATGTTTTGTGGTCTCACACAGCCCAATGGATGAGGGGGAATAGTACTGCTATTAATGTCCTTGGGGAGCCGGAAATTGACTCATGTTAGGCTCAGGAGCAGTGCTTGAGAGGGGCATGGGCTTGATTGCCATGCAGTGTGTAAGTCTGAATGACATGATGAATAATGAATGTGGGGTGGGGTGAGGGGTTTTACAGATGGAATTTATTGATGTGAATTTCTGTACCTCACCAAATCCAGGAGTACTGTTTGCTTACGAACACTTAGTTGCTCCTGAACAGGTTTTTAACTTTATTGTCTCAAATCATAATTGTTTGATATGATGCAATAACAAACATTCTTGAAAACTGAACATGCTTTATTTGTAAACATGTCTTAAAATAGTGCAACACTCAAATTACAAAACCACACACACAAAAATGTTCAATACCCAACATAATACTCCTTTCCATGTTTTCCTCTCACTTGGTGGTGGGGAATGGGAGAGGAAGTTTCCACCCAAGAGAGGTTGAAGAAGGAAGGCATCCTGGGGTTTATTTGCCCTGCCCAACTGCTCATGAGTCCTGAATGCATGGGCTGCCCAAGCTACTGCTGGACTAAGGGTGCAGAGCAGGGTGCTCATGCCCCAGTGTAGTAGAGGCTGTAGGAGATGGTATACTTGCAGCCATGATGGAGAAGAGTAGCTGAAAGAGTTTTCTGTTCGCCCCGTTCCTGCCCAGAGCTCCTAGCACAGGTTTGGGGGGGTGGGAATGACAAAGTTGGAGGGTAGGTTAGGAGGATCCTCCAAAAAGACAGGCTGAAAGAGCGATCAGAGAATCAGGAGAGGACAAAGTCACAGAAACCAAGGAAGGACAGCATTACAAGAAAAGCCAGCCACTGTGTTAAAGGCAGCTGACAGGTCAAGGCAATATGCCCCCAAAACTAGCTTTATAGATACGATATTTATAGCATACTTGTTTACAAGTTAAAAAGCACTTTATACATCACCAAAGACTGAAATTCACCAATTAGCTTTTTAGCTTGTTTTTCTCTGCCTCCCCCCCCAACTTCTCTTGTTTTTGAACACCGCATTACAAATTAGTTGGGCTTGTACCAGGGTAAAACATTTCTGTGTCTTGATTTTGACAGGGTTTATATTTGCGAATGCCAGCTGTTCTGTTGAGCCTGCAGGGTATTGGGGAATATATATTTCTTGACATAAGTAAGAGTGAAACATACAAATTAGCATAATTGAACACAATATTCATATGTATATAATGTTAATATGATGGGTCATGCATATTAATATGGTGTGCAATATGCGTTAACAGTTCCCCCACTTGTTGCTTTGATAAATAGATCAGGATGACACCTTTGCTAAATTGATATATGAAGCAGAAGTGAGAGCATTTAATGTGAAATCTATACTATTTTAGCAAACTGTCTAAGCAGCAGTACGTGATTGATACAATTAAAACGAACACTCCTCGTAATGCAAGCAAAGCTTTAAATGCAACTTCTATCCAAATGGGGAAAACCATTAGTTCAAGGTCACCATCATGGATAAAGGTCATTCAGGGCTTGTTCTGTTTTGTGCATATCTGACTGACACGTCTTTTCTAGTTTGTAATGTTTATACGTTTAAGATTAGTAGATCAATATGTACGTTCAAAACTAGGAGGTTTTTTTTTTTTTTTAAACTTATCTTGGTACTGCAGCTTTTGAAAAACTGGAATAGACATTACTATAGTGCATACACAAGGCGCAAAACTGAAATTTGGAGTAGTGGCAGTACAAACAAGGCCTCCATACATAATTATTTACTATACCGTACTGCCCATCCATATTATCAAGTTATCCTTGCCGCTTTCTCATTGTACTGATCCTGGCTGTTTTGGCCACAAACTGGAGTCACAATATCAAAAAACATCCTATTTACACACACATTGATCTCCTTTAACAGAACAAGCAATTTGAGGTGCTCTCCAGGTTTGCGTTGCTGAATGTACCAGTAGCAGAGGTAGATCCATGCATTCCTTGTAGATGCTGTCTTCCAGGTAACCTTCTGAGCAGGCAGTAGCCAACGTATCAAATATTGCAGTGTCAGGAGCCAAAATCAGTAGAGATACTGTAACTGAAATACACGTGGAACCTAACATGGAGCATAAGTGTTCTGAAGAGCAAGTACCGCGATTACAATCACAGACCCCAAATTATGAATTGGGCTAAATGAAATTTGTTTACATGGATTTAATACATTGCTAATTTATAACAACCTTCGTTGTATACTGAGGTTTAACAGTATTTAGCTAATTGCTCATCACTGATAAGGTCAGGCAATTTTTCAATATCCCCTAATGAGCTGGTTAGCACATAACTCCCATAAGCAGTGCAAAGAATATGTTAATGTGTAATACTTACAAATATGGTGTGCACTACATGTTACATATGTTGGCTAACAGCATGACACAGTCAAGTGCTAAGGACTTACCTTAGGGAGGCGCTGAGCATATACAGAATCTTCCTGATGACATCCTAGGAAGGATGATTTCTCCAGGGCTGACATCTGTTTTGAGAAAGAAAGAGTGCGCGCACACAAACAGGCCAGAGAGGCTACAGTGATTGCTCCATGGCTGACAACTCTGAAACTGCTCAGCCAGGCAGAGAAAACAGGGTCTGCCCACATACAGAGAGAGCAAATTCCACCCACTGATTCCTGTGAGTGCAAAGTAGAATTTAACCTGGTGACCAAAGACAGACCCACAATTTAATTTCAAAGAGGGGAAACAAAAAACAAGCAACCTATTTTCAGTCAATTCTCCCTCCCTCCCTGGAGCTCATAAACCCTACTCTACTCCAGTGGTAAGACGACAGGGGTTGGAGGAGAGTAAGGGTCAAAGGTAGTATGTAGGGCCAACTTGAGGTAGGCTAGCTTGTTTACATGGAGTTCCCTGCAGGTCTCATCCCCCTTATTTATGCATTCAAGCCAAGATAGTTGGCCCATTGCACAGCCAGTTTACATGGTTTTCCGGGGATTATATACTACATAGCACTACATAAACTGGTTCCAGTAAGATCTCAATCCCCATCTTACCCTGGGTTGCACTTACAATTATTATGAAGAGTGGGCATGCTCTTTGCTTCACAAATAAAATGGTTACACTGCGTACCTTTGCACTACAGCAATTAAAAGGCTATTGCAAAAGCCTTCGGTGTGTGTTTGATTTTAAGTATTGTATGCCACAGGAGAACTCCCAGGGCAGTTATTCACTGGTAGAGTTGTTTGAAAAAGCTGAATATTTTTTCCAAAAAAGTGATCACTATTTCAAACTTTTTACCAGCTCCATCCATTGGTCTTTTTTATGCATTCTCTCTCTCTCTGAAAGGGGTGTGATGGGGGCATACCCCATATAGAATGACAAATGATGACAAAAGTCCAACATGGATGTTGGAATTAGCCAACTTTCTGACCACAGGAGAATGTGCCTATGTATGGTTAAAAATAGATACCTTACAGATGGAATGGATGCATTGTAACAACTAGAGTTTGTTTTTATTGGATAAAGCGGGGGGTGAATTGTGGAAATATTTGACATTCAGGTTTTCTGACGCGGGTTTCCAGCTGAATGCTTGAATCATTATTCCATGACATTTAGAATCGCTGCATTTGGACTGACTCAAAGTTCCCATCTATGGTGAGACAATAAGCTTCTACCACAATATTTCAACATGTTCAA